AAAGGAAGTGCCTCCAAATCTATAGTGCAAATATAGTTGCAGCTAACAAGTCGTGGGTAGGATAATTTCTTTCATGCATCTTGAATTGTTTGGAGGCATAAACTACAACTTTGTCATGTTGCATTAGAACACTTCCCTATCTTTGATGTGAAACATCACTGTAGATTTGAAATTCATCCGTGTCAGAGGAAATTGTGAAAATTGATGCTATTACTAAGTAGTTTTTTAGTTTATGGAAACTTTACTCACATGCATTGGAGGCCTTTTAAGTTAACATTGATAGAGGTGCAACAATGCGAGAAAAATCTTAAACCAATCTGATAAAATCCAACAATCTAAGGAAACTATGAATCTCAGTGATAATGCTCGGCCTCGGTCAATCCATTATTGCCTTAATTTTTGCATGTATCCACAGAAATTCTAGCTTCACTAACAATGTGTCCCTAAAATATCACTTCTCAAAGCCAAAATTCACACTTAGAGAATTTAACATAAATTTTATTCTCTTGAAGGGTATTCAATCTGCTTTGAGATGTTGGGCATGCCCCTTTCTGTCCTTGGAGTAGATTAAAATATCATCAATGAAGACAATAACGAATCAATCCAAGTAATGCTTGGAAACTCTATTCATCAATTCCATAAAGATAACAAGGGCATTAGTTAAACCAAGTGACATAACAATAAATTCGTAGTGCCCATATCGAGATCGAAAAACAACATTTGAAACGTCTTCATTCTTGATTTTAACTGATGGTAGCTCGATTGGAGGTTGATATTAGAAAACTTAGAACATTTTTGTTGATCAAATAAATCATCTATACGAGGCAGTGAATATTATTCTTCACAGTCATCCTTTTCAACTTTCTGTAGTTGATGCGCAACCGCATGCTTCCTTCTTTCTTCTTAACAAACAAAACTGGTGCTTCCCAAGATGATACACTTGGTCGGATGAATCCTTTATCGAGCATTTCTTGCAACTGGATCTTGAGCTCCTGGAGTTCTACTGTGGCCATCTGATATGGTGTTTTAGAAATTGGAGTGGTGCTCAAAAGTAGGTCTATGGCGAACTCAATCTCACGATCTGGTGGTAAGTCAAAAATCTTTGGGAAATACATAAGCAAATTCTCGAACCACTAGAACATTATCTAAGCTAATACTTGATTTATCAGAATATATCACATGAGCTAAATAGCTAACACACCCATCGTAGATCAACTTATAGGCTTGAATTGTTGAAATTAATAACCACTCTACTACCCTTGAAGCAAAATAGAACTGAGCTAGGCATGCATAAATACCTGTCTCTTACGACAATTTATAATTTTATGATTTGTGGATAGTCAATCCATACCCAAAATTACACCGAACTCAGCTAGTGGGAATATTATGGGAGTAGTAAGAATATGCATGTCATTGATAACAATGTCACAATCAGGAACACACGAGTGACAATAACAGGTGAGCTCCACCTGGCATAGTCATTGATAGATGCAATTGTAATGAATAAATTAATGCACTACCGATATGAATGAATGAGTTGTACCAGACTCAAATAGTTTTCTTGTCGGTTGCTTTAAAATAAGAATGGTACCTGTCACCACATCAGGAGCTTCACGAGCTTCTTCATGTGTCATAAAAAACATTCGCATTGGAATTGTATGTTTGGGCTGCTCTAGAGCTTGAGATCACTGAGGCTGGTATTACACAATTGAAGAATGTTGATACGCCAGTGGCAATTGTTGCGGTTTTTGGTACTGCTGGTACTGTGTTGTAGGAAGACGAAGCTGATACTGTTGAGACGTCGTCACTTGCTTCAGTTGTTGTTGAGGCTGAAAATAATCATGTTTCGCTTGACCATTTCTATGATGCTTTTGAAATTCTCCTCCATTTGACTTTTGCCACTTATTCTTGTGATGCGGCTTCAAGTTATTTTCCTTGGTGTTTCTTACACGCGGCTGACCTTGAAATTTGAGGGGACAATCCTTCATTTTAAGATTGTTATTATAATAGTTGAATCATTTGCCCACAATGCAAGGCATGCATAATGAAATGAATTGAACTTATTGTGTATTCTCAAAAAAAGATTTGCATACAAATAAAAAGTAAAATATAAATTTTTGTTCTTATGGAATAGTCCATTGATACATCTCAAAGTAAAGCATAAATTAATCGAATCAAAATTCAAATGATAACAAAGGACGACTACCCAGGCCCAAAAAGGAAAATATAATAGTTAAATCAAAGACTGAAAAAAATATCAAGACGAGAAATCTAAAATTTAAAATTTGCTCGGTGTCGATGTCCTACTGGTGGTTGAATTGAGTTTGTTATGTAAAAATATCAGAGTTAATTTGACAAACAAATTCAGTAAATGACAATTATCTATTAAATAATAAATAGGGGAAATTGAGCATGCAATATGAATAATAAATAGAGATAACTATTATGTGCATATATAACATCATAAGATAACAAGAGAGTGGTAAACCTCAAATATGTTTACTTATCATGAGAAAACATGCAAATGGTTTTCCAATCAAATTTCTCATTATTCGGTTTTTCATTTGTTTTTTATATAGTCAGTTTTAACAGACACCTTGAAAATGGAAAGGTCAATAACAACCCAAGGAAACCTGACTATTTCCCGTAAAGTAGCCACTCAGTAGGCCCGTCGGCCCGGCTACTCAATATCCAAAAGGGTTTCACCGATCTACATACAATTACATACAAGCATACCAATTTTTTCACAGGTATAATATATAAGAGATATGTCACTTAATGTATGCTTGTGATATGACTGATGCAATTTCATACATATATAAGGAAAATAAAATATCATAATTTTAGGATTAACTCAATTATGCAGGAATTTTGCAGCAATATAGTAAGAAAATTAGTGCTTTCATCATGAACATTAATTGAAACTTATAACAAATACAAAATTGAAGTAGTAATGAAATTACTGGCAATCCTATAAAATAATTGTGAATATATTACAAGTAATTAGGATTAACGTCTCTTACTAGGAAGCGTATGTTTATCTTCTAATAAAAGCAATTGCTTCGAGGCAACGAATGTGATTGTTTTATGAATTTGACGGTTCTAGCGATCCTACACCAATTAGAAAGTAAAATATAAATGATTAAACAATGAAATTTATTTATTCATTAAATTTTATATATCTAATGGACCTGCAAAATTTTTAATATATGCATGTATATATATTAAATCATCATTATCTTTTATATTCTTAAAAGGAGACAATTATGAACTTATTTAACTTTGATTAATATAATTAAAATAGTATTTTGTTTTTATTTTATTTTGATATAGGGAAAAGTTAAAATTTCTGAATTATTTGTTAGGAGATTTTCATACATAACACCTAAATCTAATAAACCACCAAAAATGATACCTTAAAACCTACAAGTTCTTAAATTATGTTTCTCCTCTGTTTGCCTTAAATCCCATGTTAGGAAAACCCATTGGAAGACGAATTTACAGGATTCAGAGGAGCAGATGCACGCGTGATTGAGTAAGGCGGAGCAAGACCAGGGTTACTTTCCTCAATAGTTTCAGGTAGGAGTGGACAGAAGGAGGAAGTGCATGCCGCGATTTCGTCATTTCTTCTTGGCTAGCTCCACACAATAACACTTCGAGGGTTTCAAGCACAGAAGCAAGAGGAAGGGGTTTGATCTGTTAAATAGCCGAAGGGGGCGGGCGCGGTATCGAGCAAGAAGAAGAATGTGTAAGTTCGCAGGGTCCAATTTGGAAAGGCATGGAAAAAGGGAATAAATCACAGAATAATGGGCGTAAAAGAAAAAAAAGATTGGTTCTTATATAATGAACTCATATTTCTTATATTACTTGATCGATATGCATGCTTGCGTGATTGACCGACTTGCCTTGGGATAATTTCGGGCATCTTTAATCTAAGAGAAATTTAGTCTTTTATTTATATTTTTATTATTAGTAGAAATAGGGCTAACATGTTTAGACTTATAGAGTTATGCATGAGACTGAGTATTGAGTCTTAGGATTAGGGTTTGAGATAGATTTACTACCTCTCGAATTGTAGACGTTTATCTTTGTATTCTCATTATTTTGATTATTAAAGAAAATATTTGCTTGCCCTAAATTTTCTGTGATAAATCATTCTGTTTCCTATCAATGTATTAATACGTTTGATCTTGTATGGTTAAAGAAGTAAAATCTGACTATGATCTTTAACTTCTTCTTGAACTAGTTTTATGATCAATGGGGATTTCATTTGGATGGAAAGGGGACTGGCCACTCTAGTTTTTTATTTGAATGGCATTTTTTTTATTTGTATAATTTTTTGAATTCATATGGTTTTTATGAGTGGCTGTGAAGACTATTTATCATTTTGATATAAATAGCTGACAATAATTGGAGAATTGTTGACTCCACGTTCATTTTGTCATGTTCAAAATTAATATAATTTTAGGATAGTTTCTTATACGAAACATACAAAATTAATATAAATAACTACAAATAATTAAAGTCCTCCCACGGATTGGTGAGCTGTTAGCAATGATTCCTTAAGTAAGAAAGAGGGTCAAAGTTGAGGCGGAGTTGGGTTATTTCACAGTTATCATCAATCATTCTTTCAAAAAACTAATTCCATTAGGAAGGAAATTTCCGGTTAAATCTCTAAATTAAAGCTTTTCTCTTTTTTTTTTCCTTTGATTTTATTTGTTTTCAGATGATTAATCAAGATGCCTGGTTTTCAAATGTGAGTTTCTTATTTATGTTTTTGAGTACTTAACGAACACCTTTGTAAGCTTCTGTACAAATATTTTACTGGTATTGTATTTTTTATTTTGGGTCTTAAAGGGTATTTTTCATTGTCTTATGTTTTGACTATATTGGGATTAGCTTTTCTCTCTCAAGAACTATCATATTCTTATAATCAGATCTATTTTAAGAATAATTGTAGAACACAAGTTTTCCTTTTCTAATTTCTTTTCCTAATGCAGAGCACTTATTATAGTGTCGGAGGATCCTGATATCTTTTTTCTGCACAACCCCAGGCGGAAAATTAGGTATGTTTACTCTCGATCCAACGGCAGATAAATTCTTTTAAATTTATTCCTGAAACTCTTCAAATTGACAGTAGGTCTAATTCGAATAGCACCCGCATGGATCAACCATTATACGGGAGTAACATGCTTCTAAATTCTGTGGAAACTTCTACCTTGGCGGAATATTTATTATCTCCGAATGAAACCGACATGGATTATCTTAATATAGCACCTCGAGAAACCGATGGCTTGAATATCTGGAATTCGAGCGACCCTAACTCGAGTTCCTATATTATAAACCAAGAAAATCACGATGCGATAAAAATGGATCATGGCTGGAGTACTTCACTTTCAATTAGTTCTTCCAGTGACCCAACTATGGAGGAAAGAAACAACATCCTTTCACTGGAGCATGTGGACCTGAATCTTAATAATTCTCCAGCTGATGATGGTCAGGCATTCACACAAAGGTTGAATTCAACTCATGAGAACCATAGAATGGATCAGAACGTGCACGGTGATCCTCGTGGTGAGATTATGGGTCCTTTTTTGCCCGAAATCTTCGAACCACAGCATGTTCCTTACTCAAATTCAATTGGGAGTTCCTCTAGTGGTGTTGGAAAGGTCTTAGAAGATGTTGATCGAGCGAGAAGTTTGGTCGATAGTCAGCGTGTAGCTTGTAAGAGGAAAAGCATGGAAGCATTCGTTGGAGAATCTTCAACTAGTCATAATATTTCGGCGGATTTAGGCATGCCGAGCTCGTCTCGGTATCTTCCTGCCACTAGTTTTGTAGAACTCAACCAGAGTCCAGGTTTCACCCCCGCAATGCATAGGGGAGTTTGTTCCGAACGGAATCCAACTTCATGCTTATTGGGAAATGCTGAAACCTTGCAGAGGAATATTCGAGCGAGGCTTAATCCCGCATGCCAGCATGATATGTCCCCTTTTCAATCACAATCTACTGCGACCGGCGACCGGCTTCCTAGCATCTGGTCTTCTTCTGTTGATCCATCTTCTATTTTGAGTCATTTTAATCACGCAGCAGAACAAACTGAGTCACGCATGCTAATCGTTCCTGGCTTGCCTCACAACATTAGCAATCCTTCTTCCGCTTCAAGAATTGGTAGTTCATCACTTCCGGCCTACCCGCAGCGGAGGTTAATTTCGTCTCCCGAGGAAGCGAATATTAGAAGCTTGACGAGAAATGGTGTTGTTGACCAACAAACATATGTTACGAGAAATACGGCCAGTCATCTGAGTCAGGATCCACTGAACTGGAATCCATCTAATTCGAGCTTGAGTGTGCCCGGGAATCGAGCTAGCATTAGTTCGGGTATTGTTCCGTCGCCGGGATCTATCAGGACATCAAGTGAGATGGTTCCTGTGCAGTATCACAGAAACTCTTCTGAGGTTCTACGCAGCTCTTTGTTTCTATCTGGTGGGTCTGAATCTGGGCATCAAACTAATAATTTATCTTCACGGCAATCTGGTCGTTTTGCTTCGATGCAGGAGCCTGGTCAATCATCCAGGAATGTTCGCCAAGGCCATCCTCCACTTTACCCAAGGGCGGCATTTTCTATAGATAGGCAACGTGATGGTGTTTCGGGTTTACCTTTGTCTGCTAGAAGCAGAGATGGGAGAAGCAGGATGATATCTGAGGTATGTTAACTTGTTATTTCTCAATGTGCTATTTTTAATATTTGGGGCATTTACCTGCATACAACCAAATTCCTATGTATTTATATATCCAACACCTACACTTCAGTTAATACATATATGACATGATATGAAAAAATGTAAAAAATATAGGTGTTAGGCATGTAAATACATAGGACTTGAGTGGTATGTATGTAAATCTACTTTAAGTTCCTGCTTTACTACAGCAATTGGCATCTGTGACCGAATTTTTAATATTGATATCTGATGAGAATATTTTTTTCTTTTGGCGTCTATTTCGAATTTTGGCTGATCATGTCCAATTTAAAGCTTTGGTTTTGATTGAAAATATTATTATTATTATTATTATTATTATTTTGGGTATCCTCCAGCTGAAAATACTGTGTGATGCATGCAAAATATTGACCGCAGAACATTTCTTATTAATTGTGCTTCAAATTTTTATTATTTTTCCCTTTTCATTCTTAATGAAAACATTGAAGTAAAGCTACCGTTGTTGAATATTGTATTAATTTGTTGATCATCTGTCTTCCATGCCGTGTTTGTGTAGCAGATTCGCAATGCTTTGGATTTAATGCGCAGAGGGGTGAATCTGCGATTTGAGGTATGGCCAAACTTTTTTTTACAAGCAAATTTATATTTTTTTTAGATATTTCTCTGCAAGTTGTTCTAGCAATTTGTAAGTGCCGATGTAATTCTTTAATTTTTTTTTTACAATATATTCACTGCCAATGGTCTAGGTCCTTTTTAGGAGTGTTTTGAATAATGGGATTCATGAAGAACTACTAGAAAGTTTCACTCTTTTAGTTTTTTCAGTAATTTAAGGTGCATTTAGAGGGGCTACTGTTTTTTCATGAAGCTGCTGTAAAACTGTTTCCTGGAGAAGCTTCTTTTTCAGCAAAGGTTTATGTTTGGGAGATCCGCTGTGTTGTTGTTGTTTCTGTTAAGAAAGATTATTTTGTCCTATATATATAATATATTGAAATAAGTGCAGTTTTCAGAATATTTATAATTAAATAACAGAAAGAGCTTATACTACTAAAAAATTGTCTGATCTTAAATACTCTAATACATAAAAGAAGAATTAGCTATTTGAAGCAAACGACTACAATAACAAGAACAACAATGGTAATAAGCGAGCCTAGAATGATGTTTGACTTGAAATTTTGACGATCAAATCTTCGGGACAATCTCCTCATCCCTGCATAACTCCTCGACTGACCACGGTCTGTAGATACTTCGTCAGTGTCATCTACCCACCGAAAATAGTCGCAATTTTCAGGAGTCCTATTTCTGAGACAAGAATAAAATCTTCTCCCACAACTATCTTTCCTTATGGACCGGCAGTGAACATACCTTTCGCCACAATAATATAGTGGAACTTTCGAATTGCTTGATGATCTTAAGTTCATATTTCCTTTTATTATAATATAGTATTACTCTAGAAATTCTTAAAAAAATAGTTGTATTAAAATTAAGAATTAAAGTTTATCGGTGCAAAAAAGGCATGACACAGTTTGCTATATATTGAAAAAATACATCCAGCGAAATACATGAAGATGAAATATGAATCAACTACAAATAACTATGTGATGCTATATAAGTAAGGTCGTTGCATTCACAAAATCATCAATAATCTATTTTATCAACTGTAACATCTCCCCAACACCTTCTGCCTCGGAAGTGTTGTACTTTTTCTTCTACATTCGTTTTCTTGCACCGAAGGTCCAGCTTGATGTTGTTTAGCTTCCTCGGGCATATCAGATAGGTTTACCATCTAAGAAACTAAAATCGATAACATCTTGGGATGGATGTCTCCATATAAAATTATGAAATGCAGTTGTTGCAACAACTATCTTAACCTGTTTTTTTAAAGAATATGTAGGCATATCTCGGAGTATGACTCACTTCTTCCATATATCGAATGCTCGTTCGATAGCACTACTTGATAACGAATGTCTTTTGTTGAACAACTTCCTTATTGAAATGTGTTAGTCGTTTATTACCCTTTTCTAAAATGACAGAAAATTGTCTTCGTCTCTATCCTAAATAACGGATATCCCACATTCTTTTTGTTTGCTCATCTGATACTAAGTAACAAAAGAAATTTATTAATGTAATTTGACATGTAAAACAACAATAAATGAACCCAAGCAAGAATATGTCAAATAAAAAGTGAAAGTAGAGCTTAGAATCAGTTCATGGATGTCAAAGATAGCTCAATCCATGATCATCAATTGTGTTATGTCAGCATAAAGACCGGACAGTATCTGTGTTAAATTAACATGACCATTTTTTTTCCTCATTTACATTTGGTAATCGGTCGAGCCCTTTGTTATGTTTTATTCATCACCGCTCCACTAAACATTTGACGAGAAATGTGAAATGTGCGCCCCCCCCCCCCCCCCCCAAATGGCATTCTAAAAGCCTTATCGTAAATGAAAACCAGGCAACCAACGGGTTTACAAAACATCCGAAGTAATATGATCATATGAATCATCCAAGCAAGGTTCATCTGTTTATTTTAAAGTTTTATTGTTTTATTTTGTTTGGATAGATATGTGAGCACTGGTTTTTTAGTTTTTTCTGAAAAATTATGCTGGTTGAATTGTTTGCTCTTGCCTCCTCAATGCAGAGGAATATTTTTGGGGGTAATGTTGAATATTGTTTATACAACTCTATTTATAAAAGTCCCAGCAGAAAAAAAGCTAAATTTCTTATTGTTTAATATAAGTTGCACATTTGAAGATTGCATGATAGATAAGTTAGCAACATTCTTATATGTCCTGATCAATCAGTGGAAACAACAACATGAAATATTGTTCATATGTTCATTTTAGAATTTTTGGTGTACTTGTTATATCTAAGCACTAATGCGAACCCTTAAAAGACATGTCAGATAAGATACCATAATCAATTTTATGTTTCTTACTAGACAATTTAGATCCTTGAGGCAACAATTAGAACTCAGTGAGATTTCTTAACCAAAGAAGACTCCACCATAATCACCATTTTCTCAAATGGAATAAGTATTTGAACGTGTTTTTTGGCGACAGGTAGTATCTGTGGGAAAACTTTGTCAGTTTAAAATTGAAAAGTGGTGATCATTTAAGCCATGTGATAGTTATTTTTCATCATCGCTCTAAATAAAATTTGAATGTCATCCCCCATTTAATATCTTATCTGGCATATATCCTCAGTGAATGCATATGCATAGTAAATACACATAAAATTGTGAAAGAAACGAATAAACAATGCTGAAATGTACTACATTCCATAGCTTCTACTGTTTGATCATGAAACTTCAAATGTGCAACAGAGCATATGCAATTATATTTTTGAAAGTCCGACAGAAGAAAACGATTAAAAAAGAGGGAGCAGTGTTCAACATTCTTCCCCCCAAAATATTACTCCACACTTGAGGAGGCAAGAGCAAGCAATTCGATCAGCATAATTTGTCAGAAAAACTTAAAACCAATGCTCACATATTGTTGACCTCATTTTTGTGAGGTCTTTTCTTCTCCTCCTTAGAGTCTAGGTTCTAGCTCTAGAAATCCCTATGGACCATCTTAGAAAACTAGAATTGAGACTCACCCTTCTAGAAGCTCCAGCCGATTCCTATTTTCCTTTGATGCTAGCATCTTTGGCACAAGACCATCGTTTTATGAACGAGCGGTTATGGGCTATTTTGCAAAGATTCAAGGAAGATGATCCAAATAGGACTTCAAGCCTCAGGGAAAACATCGTCACGACCACTTTCGTCACATACACACATCAAATACACGAAATTCACGAAACTGCACGAAATCAGACTTCAATTAAGCCCAAAGGACGGGTGAAAATGCGAACTTCTCCGGATG